CTCTTTCCCGGAATCTCCCCATTCCTGGCTTGCCTCCTAACCATGTCCTGGCTCACCTCCAGAGCTGCCAAGTTTATGCCAGAAGCAGGAGGTAGATTTGTATGGGGCTGGAGGAAGATCTGGAGCTCTGTTAAATTTTCAAGCCCAGATGGGGCAACATGATTTGTGTGTTTATGTCAGTATGCCATACATCACAACTATCTGTGTGCTGACGTCAGCTTTGATTGGACATTAATGTGCTGAACACTGCAAAGTAGAAAATACGTGATAGATACAGATCTATGGCAACAATGCCACATAAGCAAATGTCTCTTTGGTGCGGGGATTCACTGTGCAAAATATTTCCCAAGATACACTGCATTAAGCCAGGAGAATATTTTGACACACTTTAAAAACAAAAACAAAATCAACATGGGCAAACAGAGTACAATTTAAGAAAGCAAACCTGTTCAGAAGAAGAGCTGAAACCAACACATTGAAGTATGTATCATTAGGCAAATACTGAATTGCTGTCCCTCACTTTAATCTTTCATGAATTAAGACTAAATAGAAAAGATGCTATTCTTATGGTTTGCAGGACTGCTAATGAGGAGGATACCTTGCTGATGGTTGAGCATCTTTCTATCCACAGTTTTTGTATCCCATTGTTATCAAAACCAGGAAGCAACAGTGTTAATGGACAGCAAACATTTTTTCAAATGGTAGAATATTTTTGTGTACCCAGAGTTTAGGCTAGCTTACAGAAATCATCAGTGGTTATTTATTCATGTAACAATTTTGTATTTCTTGCTTACATGAATAACATGCAGCAGCCTGCTGAAGAACTGGCAAAATATGGTAATTTTTGGTCTGTAGACTTACAGAGGTCACTAGCTACTTCAGGTTTATATTTATACCATCTTTATGTCATTGCCCCTGTAGAATAATATGACCAAAAATTTCCAGTAACATATAGTATACTGTCCCTCTCTTCCTAGAAAAGGAAGTAATTTGAAAGTCAGTTTTAATATTTCAGAGCTGGATGCAATAATGAAGTTTAGGGGTTGATGTGTAGGCAGTGTTCTTTTACCTCAGAACACTTACGTTATTCCTCAGAAAGGAAATTCTGTAGTATAACACTATTTTGTCATTATCCATCATTAGACCTTGTAAGTGAAATTGAAGTTCCCTGATTCCATGGGGATAGATCATTTTGGCCTGCGCACAAGTAGCAGCTTTGAAAAGAGACCAGTCCCCAGGATTTAATGCCATCTGGCCCATAAGGTGGGAAAAGGAGGGGGTGTAAAGGTACCATGGGATCGGTGGATTTAGGCCTTGTAACCTGAGCAGATTGGGCTGTGCGGACAGGCCACAAGTTGCTTTATGTAGCAGTCAAAAAACAGAGTTCAGATTATTCTTTGATGGGAGTAGGGTATGTTCACCTTTCATGTCTGCCTCGTAGGCTTCTCTGTGGCTAGTAAATACGCTGTTATTGAAGTGTGGGTTCATGAGAGCAATTGGTGTATTGATCACCATTTTAATAAACAAACCTGTGTATCAGTACAATGGGTAGACTTTTCTGACATACCTACGGATGTTTCCCTTCTCTCTGCTCCTAATTAGTTTATAAATTGTTATTATCAACTAGTTTACCAGTATTTAAATTGACCTTTCATAGTAAGTGTCAGTCGTATAGTTTATGAAAGAAGTGCAGAATGTGCAAAATGCTTTAAAATTAATAAAAATACAAAACTATAACTTGGAGCTACAGAGTTGATTCTCCATACTTGAAATGGGTTTTTTGAGGTGATTGGTCTTGATACCCCTGGAAGTATGATGGGTACAGCACCTACAGCCATCAATAACAAGAGTATACCAGCTGTCCAGGCAGCTTTGACATAACTATGTCTTATCTTAAAGAAATATTTTGCTTTTTAGCACAAATTTGTCTCCTCTTTGTTGTTTTGTTGCTCATTAAATACTGTCGTCATCAAAGCATTTAAGAACATTCTATCCTGAGTTACCTCTGAAGATCTCACTTGTGACCTTTGAATGTTGCTTTCTGCTATATAAAATTAAGTAAAGAAAACTATGCAGAAAACGGTTTATTTAAGGTACATGACAATACATTGTCGCATGGGACATGAGGCATCACTTATAAATCACAAATATATTGAGATATGGTAATGCAGCTTGAAGCTTTAGATTCATATGTTGTGTAGAGAAGAAATCTTAAGAAAGAAAAATACTGGAAGAAATGCTTTGGTTTTCCATGTTGTCTGACTGATGACCAAAATGAATAATAGTGTGGGTTATGCTTGCTCAAAATATTAGAGGTGATATGCCTAAGTATATTAAAAAACAACATTTTCAGAACACATACAAAAGCTGGGTATCTGACTCTTAGTAGAGAAGTCAAGGAAAGGCGCCACATTGCTTGTAAATATCTCTGAATTGAGCAAATGCTTATGGTATGAAGATTTAGGAAAATACAAATTTAGTGCTGCGATAGCCCTTTTATGTTTCTGCTTGTGGAATGTATGTTTTCTTTAAGCAGAAATTTCAAGTCTTTTTTTTAAGAAAAAATCCTTTAATGAAATTTCTAAGTATTGATGACCTATTTTTTCCCCACAGTTTGTCACTGAGAAGACCAAGGCTTACTCTATGAACATTAATTACCTTTTTCATCACATAGGATGTGTATTTTGTTTCCATGTCTTACAGAATAAAGCAATTATGGAACGTGTAACAAACTTGTCAGATATGGTAGTTGGTCTTGAATCATTTATTGGCTCTGAGAGAGAAACCAATCCATTATACAAGGATTACCACGGTAAGTTCCATCTTTAGCAACGCAAAAAGTCTGCCCTGAGTGTTTCTAGGGCACTTAGCGGCTTACCCTCCAATTGGGTATCTGCTATAAAGTAGCGTTTGGTTTCATTTTAGAATATACCTCCTAAATGTTTCTCCTTGCTAACCAGGCTTGAGTTAGGGAAATTTTCAGTAAAGTGCATTAAGGCTGCAAAGGAAACATGGCAACTCCTTGCATGTTGTCAAGCCGTATTACTGAGGCATGGCTCAATCAGATGTACATCTCAACAGGCAGGCTTCGGGGAATTCACATGCAGAGGAGGCTTGGCAATCATCTGACCAGCGAGCTGGACTTGTCATGAAATCAATACTTCTGATCTGCCAAGTTTTAAATAGAGAACACAGAAAAACATATATTACATTAAGGTGAATAAACTGCTAAATGATGTGCTGTATAAACTTTTATCTAAAAATAGTGCTCTATTTTTCAGCTTTAAGTCACAGCACTTACACGTTTAAAAAAGTGAATGTGAATATGTGTGGCATGTAAAATATGAAACTCGTTTGGGTAAAAAGGCATATAGCCTTTCAAGTGATTTATCTTCAAAATGTGTACTGGTGTTTAATCTTGTGGTTTGTTTCCCAAAGATTTTGTTAGCTGTTGCAGCAGAATTATTTAAATATTAAAAGATTAGAGTAGAATTTCTTCATAGCCAAGGCAGCGAATGACAGTTTTAGCTAATCCGGAGTGGTGCTCCGAGTGTGCATAAATTACAGCTATTATTATTGTGATACTACTGTAGTTGAATGGGAACCTTTAGTTGAAAGTAAACTGCTTATTTGAAACCTGCTGTAAACATGTGAGAATGTGGCAGTGTTTTCCACAGAAGTGTACATAGAAAAAGAAGCAAAGATGGTGTTGAGACACCACTGTGTGTATGCAGGCTGTAATTAATAAATCAGAGAAAAATCTTTTTTCCGAAGAAAATAGTGCACATTTCATTATCTGAAGAAAGGTGAATGAAAAAGAAATGGTGAACAAAAGCTAGAATAATTTGCCTAATTATTTTTCCAATTGTATAATCGTGATGTGGCATTTGTTTATGCTAACATAATTCTGTCAATTTGATACTCCTTTTCCCAGTACTGAAGAGATCCTTTAAGACAATGTGTGTTTTAGCAGTTATTTCCTGGTTTCCTGTAAAAATACACGCTAAATCATTTTTGGTACTACTTAATAAACATTTTATGCTAAAACATAGCTTTTGAGGTTTAGACAACATTAATTTAATTAATTTAACATTCTAAAAGCAGGTATTTTTAACAGTTTTAACTTTGTGGATTCTTTTTGCTTAAGAATATACTTTAACTTGATTTATTTACTGCAGATGATGAGAGATTTTGACATTACTCAGGAGAAGTTTTATTCTATTATTGCATTATTTAATGAATCCTGCATTAATAATTTTATTAAGCTACCTGCAAATTTAGATGGTTGAAAAGTCAATAAAATAACAAAAGAATTATATAGATGATCATTCAATAAAAATATTTAAAATACTATATATAAGCAACCCTGTGTTATACCTGCTCTTCCTATATATAATCATTATTTTTTGAACTCAAAAGCCAAACAAATAATTTTATATGTCACTACACTGGAGGCAGGGATAGAAGGTTTCAAAGTATAAAAATGTTTTTCTAATGTTATTGAGGATTTTTGTAATTAGTGCCCATAAAAATTATGCTTTTTGAAGTATTTCAATTTTAGGAAACTTTATGGCCTTCTTCTTCTTTTTTTTAAAAAAAAAAACCTCCTGAAAAAATACTTGCCTTATTTTAAATTAGAGTTTTAGTGTTTGGGATTTTCTTTCTCATAGCTGCCGTTTTCAAGTAAGGTGTCTTTTCTAAATGTTCAGTATTTCCATTGAGATGCTGGCTTTATGAATAGCAAATATAGGCCAGTAATTGAGAAGCCCTGTAGAATTTTGCTGGTTTTCAGATGTAGAAAATCACCCTTAGGTTGTTCAGAAACTATATTAGGCTGCACAAAAACCATCCAGCGTCCTTGTCACAAAAAATCAGCTTGAGTTGCAGCTGACAGAATGCAGAGCTTGCAGTGCACCTAGTACTGTTAAAAACATCTAAACAGCTCTATAAGCCTCTTGCATGAAGAAAACGTGTTTCTCCTAGGATGGCGTAGGGGTTAAAATGTATTGAAAAGCGTGATCTAAATCGGTATTTTCCAGAAACTTTTAAAAAGTCATTTTCAGGGCGCAAAACGAAGTACTTCTCATTAGAGCTTCAGTGGTTATCGGTAACCCATAAGCCTTGTTTTGCTGGCTGCTTACTGGTGCATTTAATAAAATAAAGATCACTCAGTGGTGCCGTGGGCAGCATGCAAGGTGATAGCCATATTTGCTTACTGTAAATACAAGAGAAAATCACACAGAAACCGGCTGTAGTTTTGACAAGTATTAAGATCCCTCTTTACATCTGTACTTCTGTACCAAAGTGCAATTAGTTTTCCTCGCACAAGGATTTCTGTTTATCTTATTCTGCTTGATTACTTGAGTATAATCGCACCGTTTGCTTCATTGCTCCTGGTAGTAAGCTCCAGTTTAAAAAGGGGAGGATGAGTGTGTGTAAATATACAGAATTCTGCTGTAAGACTCTAATTTATGCATCTGGATGACAGCGTTCGTAATTTTTTTTCCCTCCTTTGCTCTTTCTTTCCACAAGGTTTGGTTCACGTACATCAGATTCCTCGGCTTAACAGCTTGATCTGTGATGTGTCAGACACGAAGGACCTTGCTTTTAGATTAAAAAGAAAGCTGTTCACCATTGAGGTAAGAGAAACAGTTTTGTTTCACTATTTAGAACCCAAAAGGTGGAGCTAATCCCATCTCTTATGTTTCGTTTTGTGAAATACATAAAATATGCATCAGATGTTGTAAATTCATTTCATTCTGGTTTTGCTGCTCAGAACGGGTTTATAAAATACTGTAATATGCCTTCTAATTAAAAATGTCTCATTTGCTGCACTAAATCGGTCTGTTATAAATAGTTTATTTTGGTTTAAAATGTACATAGAAAGTAGGCCACAACCTTCAATAACAAAGCGTGACATGTTTCTAAGGATGTCAGGAGCATATTTAATTAAATGTTAATGACTTGCTCTTACTTGTGTTAGTGGGTGGGAAAGTAGCTACATGTTATTACCCCAGTGGAGGGATTTTAATGTATAATGCTGCCTAAAATTGTGTGTGGTATGAGGGATAAGTGTCCTTATCAGTATTCAGAAACCATTTTCTTTGCATTACTGAAATCACCTTTCGATCTTTTATGTCATTTTAAACACAGTATCATTTACACTAATGTCCTTAAGTAAATTTCCTACTAAATTTAAACTTTTTTCTGTGACCTTTATGCAGACAGTCCTGATAGAAGGCAGTAATACAAAAGATGTATTTCATTTTAATCTTGCTAAAGAGCAAATGAACATAGCACTATTAAGCAATTAGAGCTGATGTATTTATTAACCAAGTAATGCTTAGAGATGGGAGATGGCTTTCGGGGTGATGCGATAGTCATCAGTACAGTCTGGGCAAATTTTTTTTTAACAAGGACATAAAACAGCCAAGCATCCCTGACAAACCATTTTGTTTAATCTCTTTTCAGATGAAAAGCTCTTAAGCAGGCCACTTGTCTTAACTGCTTGAAACCATAAAAAGAGAGAATTGCCACCAATAAATTAGCATATTTTTTACTCCATCACCAAATGATGGTCAATGTGGCTTGGCACTGCTTTGGTGTTTGGGACTTCACCCTTAAGTGACCACTTTGGCCCTTATTTGACCCTCTGCCCTTTTTAGCTGGCCACTTGATAAGGTAACTTAAGGGTTCTCTCTCTTCACTGCCCCCTCCCCTTCACAATTGCAAGTAGCCCTAACCTATAAATCATTGAAAAGGCCCTATCAAGTGACAAATTAAGGTGCCCTCCTCCTAATTAATGGTCATCAATGTCTTTAATTATCTAATCCTATTGAGAGTAGTTAATAGTTAATCAGGCAGCCAGTTCTTCATGCAGGTCATCTCTGCATGAGTGCTAGAAGTTTCTCAAGTAGAGGTATCCTCTTCAGAAGCCACTAAAAGGCAAATACGTTAAGGAGGGCTTTTTTCCTAAAGACATTCCTTTATAATGTTACTCACTTTCCAGAGAATGCGGTTAATGAAACCAGGCATTGTGAGGTATTAAAACCGTTTTAACAACTGCTTTTGAGCAGTAAGTTAGAAAGAAAAACCGTAATAGTCAGTGGTTGATTTTAAAATACAAATGTTCTTACTGTTTTCAGAAGTGCAGAGAAGCGTGCACCCTCATTTCACAGCATAGTAAATTCATATTTATTATAGCTATGAATTAGAATTTTTAAAATTTTTTTCCTCACTATGAATCCTGACTCAGAATATAATATTTTCCGTCAGCCGTATTTGGGATTCTAATTTGTAATGTAATTTGGAAGGAAAAAAAAAAAAACCTTAGCAGGAGGCTCTGTAAAAGGAACCGAATTAGCCAAGGGGCAGAAGCATTGGGAACAGTGGTGTAGTGGAACTCTTGAAACAACCTGCTGCCCTAGACATGCGTAGATGACCCACTTGTATAATTTCTCCCTTCGTTGCTCAGCTGCAGCCTCTTTTGAATAACTTCAGGTTTTGTTAGAGATATGCTTTCTATAAGCTGAACTGACACAAACTAGCCCTTTTTGAACATGCTAGATCACTGTCTTACTGTGATCTTCCTGTACATGTTTCACTGATCTATAATACACACGTTTTTCTTCCTCATACTATTAGGGGAGGCAGACTACAGCTAGACTGACTAGTGCAATGAGGTCAATAAGAAAATGGGAGCAAGGGAAAATTGAATTAAGAAGGGATGTGAATACAGTCTTCTAAAATGGATTTCTGCAGATAGAATGTGATGAGTCAGCAGTCAGGTTTGGTTCTGGTGGTAAAAACATAAAGCAGCACAACAATGTGCATTACAAGCAACAGTGTGCTTTCTACAAAGTACAGCTAAGTTTATGACTTCTTTAGTATGTAGCTTAATACGAATTTAAAATATATTTGGAGTACATTACAGTTTTTGGAAGGCTTCTGCTTAGTTATATACACAATTTAGGGTAAAAATCTTGACCTCTACTTGACATGCCACTTTCAAATCCAATTACATAAGAAAAGTTAGAGATACACAAACTATGACTTGTGGCAAAAATTTCTCAAAAAAAGGTTTTCATCACTAGACCATTCTTTTTTTACAGTTTAAAATAAGGGCATGGGACATGAATTTTCTCATCTCTCATCTCAGTCTCAGGGATTGCTCACCTGTTAAATAACTCTTTATGGTTTGGTCCTCATCAGTAAAAAACTTTAAATGTCAAATCCATTTTATTAGATTGCAGTTTTGTGGGAGGTACTCTGCCTCTTGATAGTCTGCAGAATCATTTAACTGTTTCAGTTTGTCTTGCATCTTCCTCGTCAAAATAAGATTGATTGAAATGTATTCTAAAGGGATTTTTTTAATAATTCAGGATGAAAATGTTTTTAATGAATATTTATGAGTGTTCATTTTCCATTTGTAAATTATGAGGTAGACCCTTTCCAGGAAAATTTAAATGTTTATGGTAAAAGGTGCAGTAGCTATATCAAGCTTTCCCAAGTCTTCACACGTTAGCTACTAGCCATCTATTATTATATGCAATATTATCAGAGGTCTATCTTATGTGCATACCACTTTAAAGGACACAATTTTGAAGTTAGCCTGTCTAATCCTATTTCTTCCCACTTTGGAATCTTAATTAGAAGGAGATAAAAACCATCATTTGACTAAATTATTGTCTTGAATCTGTAGCAAAAGGTATAATCCGCAATTGGGCCAATTAGTGTACCCCATAGTTAGCTATGCTGAGGCAGGAAACTTGATTAGATCTGACACCAGCCTAGTTCCCACTGTTGTTTTGCCAGGTATGATGGTCAGACTTCAAAGGGCTTGAGGCATCAGCAGGGCAAGGTTTGGAGGCCAGCTTAGGTCCGGTCGTTAATCTCTCTGCTAAAACCACAGCAGCCCTCGCACAAAACAAGCTTACACGACACAATCATGCGGTATTAAAGTTTGGGTTGAGTCATGCCAATTTGCCTTTGATTTTCTGATGATTGACTAAAAGATGGCTACATGACTAGACACATACTGAAAGTTTACTGATTAGGTAAGTTCCCCAAATATTTGAAATATTTTTTGATTTCTCAGTTAAACGATATGACAACCCGTTCATCTTAATGAAACTTTTCAAGGGAATTGTTCTTCAAGTGCTTTTTTCTTTGTCTGTAGTTCTGAGTGTAACTTTTATCAACATTTTCTAAATCTTGTAGGAAGATTATGTTCATAGTTTTATTTGATAGAACTTTATTTTCGTTGTTCTGAAGCCTCCTGTACCAAAATGAAAGGAATCAGTGCCTAAATTTGATTTTTTTCACCTCAAAATTTCTAAGGAAACATTGTTTGCCTTTGTTAGTTAGGTACATTTACAATTACTCGCAAAAAGGGAATTTCCTCTTAATTATTTTCCACCTCACCGTTGAGTAAAGCGCTGTTCCACAGCTGCGATTACATAAGTGTTCCTTTCTTTTGCAGTCTGATTTGTTGAAATATTGCAGTAACAGTGACATGTTTCCATTCTGAGAAAAGCCTAAGGCTGCTTTAGTATTATTCCAAATGATTGAAATTGCCATCTTGCTGACTTTCCCTTGGGCAGCTTAAGGCCTGTTTACTTTTGTATTTGTTTCACATGTTCCCTCTGAGTTTGGCTGGCACAACATCATTACCTGGTTTGACAAGACAGTTGGAGAAGATTCATATTTGATTAACTCCCTTTGTTACTGTCTGGTGGACATAAACCTCTGAAATTATGTATTGAAAATTACAACTTTTGATAAAATGCAGATAAATGTTTGCAAAAAGGAAAGTTTGAGAGTTGGTTTATTTATTCCCTAGTTCTGCTTTACTGCTAATTTTTGAAGTCTTCAGGTAACAGTCAATTGTTAATAGTGTAGAGAATAAGCTTTTTTTTTATACAAGTTGTATAATATAGTTTTGTCTAATAAATAGTTGTTGTGATTTTTTTTTATTTGGATCAATACGCAAATCAAAGCCAGCTAATATGATTTTCTTTTTAATGGCTGTATAACACCTGTGCAAACCAGAATAAAAATCTTTAAAGGACAGCTCAGTTTGAAACCAAGTGTTATATACTGTATAAAGAATTGCCACACAGCAAAAATAAGTTTCCAGAGCTTAATGTCTGAGTTCAGGGGATTCTTTTCTGAGAGGTTTTTCCTAACAGGAAGAGTCAGAATTAGAAGAGTCTTGTAGCAGGAAAGTTGCTGGTTTCTCGGGGGCAGGCAGATACAATATGGTACTATGGAGCACTCCGCGGTGCATTTTTCCTGGTGATAATTGCCAGAGTAAAAGGGTATGTCTTTGGAAGGAAACATAATCACAAAAGCCAGCAATTGAGTCTATATAGAATTAAAAACAACTGTATGATTCCAAAGGCATTAAAATAATGTCCTTTCTTCATCTATCTATAAAGGACTAGAAGAAAATTAATGATTGCCAAAATTAGCAAGATTTAATTGTAACTCCAGATGTTCATGTGTATGTTTTGTGTCCACCATTGGCATTCCGAAGATTTAAAAGATGGTGAATTTGGCAATTAAAAGTAGGAAATACATCTTAGGTAGCTTCCATCTGAAATCTCTGTATCTCTACTTTTTTTTTTTCATTCTATTC